ATTATCAAGTGTGGAGGGAATTTTGAACACATTTGAACAGGGTGGTTGTGTTTTGGCATACAACAGGTGTCCTCTTGTGTTGGGTATCACCTGGTTGGGTAATTACCTTGGCCCAGCGGATGTGGAGGTGAGGGTGGAGAGGTGGAGGTAAGGGAGGAGAGGTAGAGGTGAGGGAGAGGTAAGGAGGGGGGAAGAGGTGGGGGTGAGAGAGGAAAGATGGAGGTGGGGGAAGAAAGGTGGGTATGAAGAAGGAAATAAATGAAGAAGAGGGAGAAAGAGGTTTATGAATGAGGGAAGATGGCGGAGGCGATGAATGTGGAGAGAGTGCAAGAGGTGGTGAATGAGGGAAGCAGAACGGAGAGGATAAAATGAAAGGGGGAGGGAAATGTTGAAAGGAGAGGGAAGGAACAAAGAAGTTAGGGAGGAGATAAATGAAAGGGGAAGGAGAGGAGGGAGGGATGAAGGAGGGAAGGGAAGGAACGTGATGAATGAAAGGGAGGAAGTAGGGGGGGGTGATAAATGAAGAAAGGGGAAGCTGGTTGGTTAATGAGAGAGAGAGAGAGAGAGCCAATCTTGTTTTCTGATCTGAATTTTGTTATTCTTGTAGGGAAAGAGGGAGAGTATGTGGGATTGTGTGGGCTGTATAGGAGGGTGTGGACTGTGTATGGGAAGGTGAGGGGAGAGTGGGATGTGTATAGGGTGTGTGGGGAGGTGAGGGGAGGTGGATGAAGGACGGTGGGGAAGGTGGGTGGAGTAGGTGGGAAGAAGGAGCTGAGTGGGTGGAGGTGAAAGGACGTGTGGGTGTTGGATGGATGGTTTCGGTGGGTGGGTGTGGGTGGGTGGACGCACACGCTCCACCACCCTCTCGTTACATGCTCGGCAGAACACCCTCCTTGTACCTAACGGACCTGTCGACCCTGAGCTAACCTGACACGTGGCATAAACTCACCAATTTATTCGCATTATTTTAAAAAACTAGAATAACGAAATAAAACTAATTCATTCTCTTTATTAGCTAGTTTTACACATGGAATAAACTCCTATGTACTTTGTTTGTAATCTAAAGAAAGAAATAAACTAAAAATCACTATCTTTACTTATTCACCTTATGAGTTACGGGAATAAACTCCAATTTATTTTTTTATCTCAGAAATAAATAAAAAAAAATTATTCCATTAATTTATTTTTTCCAATTTAGCTAAGAAAAAAATATTTAATATCCCAACGAAGAAAAAATCCAATACACAGAAGGAATAAACACCTATTTACTCATACACAAAGAATAAATCCTGTAAGATAAATCACAGTGGGATTTCTATATCAGGATTTATACGGTATTAGATTAATAAATTCATAAATCCTAAATAAATCAAGACACCTAATCCTAGCCACTAATCACTACTCCCACAAGATAAATCCTATATAATCCTATAATAAAAAAAATCCTATAACCCGGTCGACAAAACAAGTGAGAGGGATTATACAGGATTCGTGGAGAAGGTGTCCAGCAAGGCGTTGGGATTGACGGATTACTGAAACCTGAGATGGGATATTTTTTTTTTAATGTCTCTCTCTCCGAGGTGATTATCCCGGGTTACGGCGAATTGGAGAAGGGATTAAGAGAGAGAGTCGAGAAAGCTGGATAAGAGATGGATAAAGGGGAATTAGATATAACGTAAATAGAGATAAACAGTAAACAAACACACACACATACACACACACACACACACACACACACACACACACACACACACGAAGATGCTACAGTCTTAATATTGATAGCAGTTAAAAATCACCATTATCCCAACATTAAAAATTATAGCTTACAATATTTACCTAATCTTAAATAAAAACAAACTTCACTATACTAATTATAAAAAAAATCCATTAATATAATTTTCTAAATATAATATTATACTATATATCTCACCTATAATCGTTAAACACCTTTCTAAGAATATATTATAACTACAATTGATGTATAATTATGATAGGTATATACACACACCTCTTTATATAATTAAGGGACAGTAAAACATGTTATATACCGAGCGGGAAATCCGATGGTGTAATTGTGTTTGTGCTTGGGTAAAAACACCGAGCGGGCGAATATTATTTTGCTTCAGTCCAGAATGCCAAAACATAAGTCGGGTCCCAGAAATTGAAATTAGAGGTGAAATGCATATAGGTTGGGGGGGTGATTGTTAGGTAGGATGGGTAATTGGGGTGAGGTGCAGGAAGGGTAGATGGGGGTGGGGGATATTGAATTTGGTGGTCGTATTCAGTTTTTTTAAGAAAAGAAAAAAGAAAGAAAGAAAGAAACTCTCCTGAAAATATTATAATCATCATCTCACATGGTTAGATTTACCTAAGGTGAAAATCATACAATGTGGGGATTTTTTTTTGAAGGGGGAGGAGGCAGGAAGGGGGTGGGGGGAGGGTGGGGTAATGGGTGGGGGAAGAAGATGTTTAGTAACTGCCTTTAAAGTAGTTATTGTTAGTTAAGATTAGGCTAATAGAACTATGGATTATTATTATTATTATTATTATTATTAGGTAGAGTGAATCTGTCTAGAATTTTTGGCTAGGATTAATTAAAGTTTTTTTAGGGGGTTAGTATTTTTCCCAGGAGAGACAATTTTACCTACAATTAAAAAATAAATCTTGTTTTGTTTCAATTATATCAGATTATATCCCATAGCCTATAATACAGTAAATCTTTTGGCTCTAATGAAACAAGCAAAAGCCCCTGTTATTTTTGGCTATAAAGAAACAAAAGCTTATGTTATTTTTGGATATAAACAAACAAAAGCTTCTGCTATTTTATGGCTATAAACAAACAAAAGCCCCTGTTATTTTGGCTATAAACAAACAAAAGGTCTTGGGTTTCTCTAGAATTTACCCCCCGTGAGAGCCTTTTTCCTCGACGACTAGAAAATCCCTGTAAAAATCTTCTTGCCTTCGATGATGTTTAATTTAAAAAGATTCTTTGTCCCTGCCAAGATTCTGCCCGAAATATGAAATCGCGACTCGAATCCTTCTTCTGAGACGTTTACTTATAACTTCCAGACAAGAGGAGGAGGAGGAGGAGGAAGGAAGAAAGAAGAAAAATAAGAAAAAGAAGGAGGAGGAATAAATATGAACCACAGGAATGGGAATAATGGTATGGTATAGAGACAGAAGATGGATATAAAAATAATTGGAGACGAAGGGTATAAGAAGTAAAGAATAAATAATGAAGAAATTAAGAAGCAATAACAAATTACAAGAATAATAAAAAAAAATATGATGGAAAAACAAAAACAAAAAGTGAAAAAACATGGAATGGCAAAACAGAAGAATAAACGAATAAAAAAATAAATAAAAAGAAAGAATGAAAAAACAAAACAAAAAAATATAGAAAATAATGTAAATAAAATAAGATCTTGACCCTACTCACTAACCTAAAGGTAGAGTCACACACACACACACACACACTATAATAACTCACACTATCGAGCCATCTTTGAGAGGGTAGACGTCCTTACTACATGAAACACACCGAGCGAGATACAGATTATATAATGACGGCTGTGTATGTCTGTCTGTATGTGTGTGTGTGTGTATGTATGTATGCATGTATGTATGTATGTATGTATGTATGTATTCCAAAGTACTCAATAATGCACTATGGGTCTCACAAGTGTATTAATTTAAAACTTGTATATATATATATGTATATATATATACTTTTCCCTCCACTCAAGAAATATTACCAAGGTTAATTTAGGTTAGGTTAGGTTAAGCTTCAGGTGAAATAAGCCAGGGGGGTTAGACGTCAGGTGATCCGCTTCTTACACTGTATTATTTACCTTATCTAATGTAAAAGCTGTACTGTATCGCGGTAGCACTCGGGAGAAACGCTGTAGGCTGACAACTGTGGGGTTCCCAAGGGCATTTCTCTGCCTCGAGGATATTGATGACCACATTGTAACAGTAAATTCAAATAATGTATAAATTATGTAGTAAAACTGTAACACGTCCTAGACTAAACACATCAGCGTGTATATCGTAGCCTGAGTGTCTGTCTGTCTCAAGAGGACAAACACCCTCGTATTTTACCCCAAGCACTGACCACCAGAGGCCCACCACTATACTTTGTTATCAACATTCCTAAGTCAAGACTCCTGTCAAAGTCCCACAGTACGGAGGAAGTTGTCAAGCAAGTAGTAATCGTATTTCCAGCTGTAGTTTGACAGATATCTTTGACATCACATTCAATTACATATCCATTGGCCATAAATTGTCCAGACAGATGCAAAAAAGAAGAGAAAAAAGGAGTGAGAGAGACAGAGAGAGAGAGAGACCGAGAGAGAGAGAGAAAAAAAGAGTTGCCGTGCAGGTTGCAGGGATAGAGTGTTCGCATGCAGAGACTACACCTGCAATGTGTGTCATCAGACGTGATTCATGGAGTCTTTATATTCGGGGACCGACTCCAGTTTCGGAGCCAATTATCAGAAATTAGAACGTTGATTAAGGTGATTCTCCGCTAAGAAAAGAGAAAACAATGGTCATATCAGAGCAAGTTTCATTATTAGAGTCTGTTCCAATATGTTTCGATAATGTCTGTTTAATATTCACATTGGGCTCGCGGAAAACCTCCAAATAACACGTAATTATGGGGCCGGTTATGGGAATTTCAGCCGCTTAATTTGTAGTTGCCAACAAAATTCAGAAGAATTTCAAAATGATTGTCCCTTTAGGTACAAGTAGTCACCCATTTTCATTAAATTACGCTCACTCCTAATATTTTCTCAGCATGGAATGAACTGAATTAATATCTTGATGTAATTTACTCTAATTATAGTTCAGTAGTCCATAACACGCTCGATGGTGGGCGGAGACAGCGGCGAGCCGGCCAATGGGAGCGCGGGGCGGGGCTTAAGGCTCGGCCAATCATCGTTGAGTGAAGGAAAATGGCTCCTGAAAGATGGATTTGATGCATTCCGTGTTTGAGTTTGGCTTGTAGTGAAGGTAAATCTTGTTATGTCGGTTGTGATTTTAATGGTCTCGTAAGCGCGGCTGCATGCCAAGATGGGAGCATGTTGGGAGCCCAAGAGGACATTGGTAATGGAGAATACAGATTAGGCGGAGGTGTGCGGTAGTGGCAGCCTGAGACGAAGACAGCGGCGGCCGACCAGGATGACCGCCATGTCAGCAGAGGACCACGAGGAAATAACCGTTGACGGGGCCTCGAGTCGCGAGACTTCCCCCGCGCCGGGTTCCCCCGCCCGCGCCCGCAGTAGCTCCCCGCTCGACCTCAGCAGGGATGAGGCCCTGCACGCCCGTCACGGGGACGCCCGCAGCCCCAAGGGTCAGCATGGCAGACTATCTTTCAGCATATCTTCGCTGCTGGAGTCGTCGGGGCGCGCGGCAGCGCTGCGACACAGACTACTGGAGGAGGGAAGTGAGTCCGACCGCGAGTGTGAAGGTGGCTACGCCGCCGAGCTGGAGCGCCGTAGCCGCCACAGTGACAGAGACAGTGAACGGTGTGAGAGAGACAGTGAACGCAGTGAGAGGGAGCGTGAGGGGGACGAACGTGAGAGGTTAAGTTGCGCCGGGAGCGAGGCAGAAGGTGACGATGATGACGGCGACACGCGGCCCTTCCAGCCTTTCACCTATACACACATGCCCTTCATGGGCGCCGGCGGCCTCCTGCCGCACTTCAACCTTATGCCGCCCATGAGCGCCGCCGCTGCTGCCGTCGCCGTCGGTCTGGGGTCCCACGCCTCCCTACCGCCGATGTCAGGCCCTGGCAGTGTCATCCGGGTGCCTGCTCACAGGCCCTCAGTAGGGGGAGCTGGTCCAGGCACTGCCCTGGGAGCCATGCTGCCCCACATGGGTGGCGCCCCATTGCCCTGGTTGGCAGGACTCACTCCCCTAGAACGTACAGCCGCCATGGCCCATCATCTGTCAGCTCTGGCGCCCATAACAGGTGAGAAGTTGGTTCAGTTGTGTGTGGCCTTCGTCAGTAGCGTCAGGGTGGTGGTGGAGGGTCGCTGGAGGGGCTGGCCACATTATTATTGACGCCCGACGGCGACCACCTCGTCGGGCGGCCATAAAACCCTCGGGACCTGCCCTCACACCCGCCCTCCACCCTCCTGTTGTTGTTGTTAGTGTTGTTGCTGTTCGTGTGTCTGTAGGAGCCCTGTAGGACCGCCGTCACGAGGCCAAAGTGAACGTCCCCGTCCTGCCAACACCCTCAGAGAGTAATAAGTTCAGGTCGGAAATGAATGTATTTATCGCACAAACGACCGACACTATAATTAGCATACAGAAAGTTGAGAATCATTTTACACTCTTTACTGATGTATTAGTGTAGGAATAACGTTAAAAGTAATTACTTCTATTACGTAAAATTTATGTAAATATTATTTGTCCTATTTATGTAGTGTCGTTTACATAATTTTATATAACAAGACCGAATATATATATATATATATATATATATATATATATATATATATATATATATATATATATATATATATATATATATATATATATATATATATATATATAATGTCATTGCTTTGTGATAGAAAATATAAGAATTTACGATGATAATTATTATAAGTGTAGACCATCATACAACTTGTGTTAGCTAACAATCTACTGATGAATCTGTTGTAGGCGTCACGCTGACGAGTCTGGGGACAACATCAACAAAAACAACGTCTCACAAGATTAAGAATTTACTCCGCTGAATATTTACATTAAGTCATTCTTTATATTCACAAGATATTATTAATGTATTATTAATGTTCTGAAGATCACCATCTCCTCCCTCATGAAAAACTCTCCCTTCATTCATAAACATAACCAACACAACAGTCGTAAATTAGTATGTTATTTCCACCATCAAAACAACGTTAACACACCCACACTCACTCATATTATTCCTCCAGCATTATCATGTAATTTATTGATATATTATGTGTGTGTGTTTGTGTGTGTGTGTGTGTGTGTGTGTGTGTGTGTGTGTGTGTGTGTGTGTGTGTGTGATTTCTTCTTCTTCTTTATCTAAATGTCGCCGTAACTGTGAGTGACATTTATTCATGAGGTTCGTTCCTCTATTCACCTTCCTCACCATTCAAGTCTCCATCACACTGTCTGTCTGTCTGTCTGTTTCATCATCATCATCATCAACATCATCATCATCATCATCATCATCATCATCATTCCTTTGATATTTTTGATGACAGGAGAATTGGTCTCTTAACAATGCAATATGCAAATTAAGTAATATAAACACAGTACATTATATACCTGGCCTATCTATATATCATCATTGTCTATATTATGAAGTTACGTTATCATTATATTTTAACTCATTATATAACAAGCATCATCATCTCAGTCGATATATTTTTTACATTATACTCTACAACCACAACTACTACCCACAACTCCGTCTCTACAACCACAACTACTACCCACAACCCATCTCTACAACCACAACTACTACCCACAACTCCATCTCTACAACCACACTTATACCACTGACACCCACAACCACAACTACCACAAACATTTCAATAAACCACAATTCTCCACACAACAAGTATCACATATCTACAACTATTATCCTACCTTCATAACCGATCCTGAAGCATATTAATTATTTCTGATATTACAACCAACACTACAACAACCAGCATAAGACAACAACCACCATTTACAACACTACTAACACCATAACTAGTATTCTATAACAGTACAACTATCATCTACCACTATAACCACTATTGTAATATACCGTAACCACAATTCTAGCATCATAACAACCAGTAATGCGCTACCACCACTACTTTAGCACCACAGCAATTATACTATCACCATAACCACAATTTTAGCATCACAACCACAATTCTAACACTTTAACCACCATTATAGCACTAACACAATTTTAACACTATAACCATCACTCTTACAACACAACTACCACCGTCACAATGATCATTCTCGTCCTACCACTATAACTACCACTACTCTATAACAATCCCCCCAAAAGTAACAACCATACCGCCATAACCACAATATCTACAACCATACAACCACGAGATAAATTATACACTGATCATAGGCCTATAATATCAGTCTTATACCAGCCATACTAAAATATACAACACCAAGCCACACCATATAACCACTGTACCATACTAACTACACCACACCAAACCACACCATAATATACAAGAAAACACCAGACCATACCACACCATATCGTACCATACCGAACCAGACCATATCACATCAAACCACACCATACCACACCACACTCAAACCATACCACGTAATACCACCCCAAACATGAACTATAAACACCAGGAAAAAACAACAACAATAGATTTTAACTCTGGTCTATAAACTTCAAAACACGATCGACTTGACACACGATCCAATCCTCCTGGAGCGCGGTACTGAGTGTTGGATGTAATGTATGGAGAGGAGGGGAAGAGGGAGTGGGGATCGAAGCCTATGATAGGGGAGTATGGAAGGCAGGGAGGAGAGGGAGGGGAGGAAGAGGGGATCGAAGCCTATGACAGGGTAGGATCCAATTCCCCATATCATGAGGATCCCAAATTAGATTACATGAAAAGCCCAAAGTGATTACCGTACCATATTGTTTGTATAAGGTCGAGGAATAAGTTTATGACCGCTGTGACAAAGGGATCCAATGCTTTATAATACGCGCTCACACACACACACAAAGGATCCAATATCACAGTAAAGTGGATACAAGTTACTTATATAAGGATCCGGGATGGTATTTAGACGTAATAGAAACGATAAGTAACAATAAAAGTTATATATAAGTGAAGAATATGAAATTAATTCCTACTGTAATGAGAATTAATTAATCTACCTTCAAGAACGGCTCACCCTCCTCCCTCCCTATCAGAGAAGTATACGAATAATTTATGTTAATTTTTTCCCTTCAATTATATTTTGTTTCATTGAGTTAAGCGATTTTTTTTTATTCAATTTAAATTTAGTCGATTATTTATGATACGTGGGATTATTTTTATTTATTTTTATTCTTTGTTTATGTCTGTATGAATGAGTGTCTGGGTTGTCTGGTGAATTATGGAGATCTGTCTGTCTGTCTGTCTGTCATTTCTCGGTCAGTCTGCCTCACCTTACCCTACGGTGATTGGTTTCCCTTAGGGTCTCTAACCCGCTTCTCCCAACGGAAACCGGCCTACCTTCCCTTGGGGTTCTGGCCTGCTTAAGAGACCGGCCTACCTTCCCTTGGGGTTCTGGCCTGCTTAAGAGACCGGCCTACCTTCCCTTGGGGTTCTGGCCTGTTTAACGGAGTGCAGGCCAGCCTACCTTTACTAGAGGTTTTGACAGCCTGCTTATATACCCCGGGGAACTAACACTGCCTATTTGGCCTGGAGGTGGCGGCCAGCTTACCCCCAGAGAGTAAGACCTGCCTCTTGAACGCGGCCTACCATCTCTGGGGATTCTGCTGTACCTTCCTTATAAAGTTAGGCGTCTCTGGTATAGGTGCGAGATAGATGGAATTTGAGGGAGGGAACTGGAGGGAGGGTGGAATTGGAGGGAGGAAGGGTGGAGAGGGAGGGAAGGAGGGAGGGTGGAGATGGAGGGAAGAAGGGTGGAGATGGTTGGAGGGAGGGTGGAGAAAAAGAGAGGGTGGAGATGGAGGGAGGGTGGAGATGGAGGGAGGGTGGAGACGATCAAACATTCGATCACAAAAAAGGTAGACCGCTAATACCTGTCAGTGTCTATTAAGTTCCGCTGAGACAGAAACGGACACCATAGACGGTATACACAACCACCCACACCAGGGCCGGTACATGACCACCCACACCAGGGCCGGTACATGACCACCCACACCAGGGCCGGTACATGACCACCCACTTCAGGGCCGGTACATGACCACCCACACCAGGGCCGGTACATGACCACCCACACCAGGGCCGATACATGACCACCCACACCAGGGCCGGTACATGACCACCCACACCAGGGCCGGTAGTCCTTCATGGCGGGTGGGCGGTGTCTGGTGGCATTTTAGAACCAATCATTTTAGAAGCCAAATATAAATTAGAATAAACCTTACCTGTGTACCTGTCCAGGGAAGGTCAGGTGTCTCTAAGAGGTTATCTACGTGGGAGATATTTCCTACCTGTTGTGACTATTTAGAAATGTTGTATGAGAACATAATTATATAAACTAAATCAAACTGCAGCTGACGAATAATGACTGAATCTAATTATATTCGGTAATAATATTAATATTATTATTATTATTATTACCATATTTTTTATTGTAATCATCATTGTTATAATTAAAAGAATGAGTAATAATGAAATAAATAGTTGTTATTATTACAATTATTATTATTATTATTATTATTATTATTATTATTATTATTATTATTTTATGATAATGATGATAATAATAAAAATAATCGTAATAATATTATCATTGCCGAAAATAATTAGATTCAGTCATTGTTATTTTCATAATAAGGAATATTATCGTTAATATAAAGAGTATATTATAAATGAAATTCTGTCTGTACGTATACTGCTAAATATTATCATTATTATTATTATTTATGTCATTATTATTATTACTAATATCAATCGTCACCTTCTGTAAACCAAGTCAAATAAGAACCCTCAACCTGATCTAGAAATTACAGTTTCCAAGAACGACGAAAGACAATATAACTAAATAACGAAAATACTATTACGGGCCGATAAGGTAATATTAATAGGTCTTGATGGTCCGCCAAACAGGTGATTTAAGACTCAAGTGAGGAGGGTGAGGGAAGGTGACGGCGGTGACGGAGGGTGACGGCTGTGACGGAGGGTGACGGCGTCTGGTTCATGTGACTGTCCAGACTTGGGTGTGTGTCTTAGGGTGTGTGTCCTAGGGTGTGTGTCCTAGGGTGTGTGT